GTCGCCCCACGTTCGCCTTTCACGGCAAGACCCAACATCCACAGTACCAGCAGCAGCAGCAGCAACGGCAGCCGCCGCCGCCGTACCAACATCGCCCGCGCGAGGCGGAGCGCAGCGAACAGCACCGGTATCACCTCCCCGCGCCGACGCAGCACCAACAACACCAGTCCTACACCCACGCCCGGACGCTTTCGAGCTCGTCGAGCGCCTGCAGCGCGTCCTCGCCCATCACGCCCTCCGCGCTTACGGCATCGACGTCAGCCCAGACCTTGGTGCACCGGCATTTTTATCCCGCTTTGGGCGACCACCGGCGCGAGCAGGAATGGCACCAACATCAGCAGCAGGAGCGGCAGCACCAGCACCAGCAGCAGTCGCTCGGGCACGGCCACCGTCCGCCGCGTGTGCAGGAGGGGGGCCTCACGGCGAGGACGACGCCGACGCCGAGGCTGTCCGTGTACGACCTCACGCAGGACGGGCAGGGTTCGCGGCAGCGCTTGCGCGCTGACGTCCCAACCCAAAGCGCCGTCGCTGCTGCTGTCGCGCCTCTGGTCGTTGCCGCCGAGGAAAGAGAACCGGCCCCGGCAAGAGGCGAGAACGACGACGACGACGACAACCACCACCATCACCACCACCGAGGAGCGCCCTTCCTCCTCGTCCCGCCCGTCTGCGCGACGACGACGACGACAATGGCAACGACGATGACGACGATGACGTTCCCGTCCCCGCGCCGCCGCGTGTCGTTCAGTACGAGCGCAGAACGGAGCTCGAGCCCGCCGCCCCCACTGCCCCCTACACTGCTCGGTGCGTCTCCTCCGTTGATGCGCGCGCGGCCCCACCACCACCACGGCCCTGGCACGAGCCTCCTCGCTGCACTCGGCCCGAAGCCTGTCCGCAGGAGCGCGCTGCCGCCGCCGCTGGTGCAGGTGGGGGAGACGAGGGACAAGGGAGGCGGCAAGGGCGGGGGCGGGAGCTTGGGGCTCGTCACGCCGCCGTTGAGTGATGGGGAGGGGCCGGTCCGGGTTGGGGAGAAGCGTTGGAGGGAGGAGAGGAGAGAGGAAGAGGAGGTTGAGGAGAAGGCTGAGGAGAAGACTGAGGAGAAGAGGGTCGAGGAGAGGACGATAGAGAAGGCCGAAGACGAACCGCCTCGCCGCAGGCAGCGCCCGACGCTGCTCGACCTGCTCAGTGTGCCCGGCCCGCTCCGCAGCCCGAGCCCGCCGCTCGCAAAGCACGACACCACCGCACCTGCGTCTGCCGCGGTCGACGCAGCACCGGCCGCGGCGGCACTATCATCGAAGGTCGAAGGGGAGGCGCAGGAGGCGCAGGACGTCGTGCTGCCACCAGCCCAACAGCAGCAACAACTACCGACGCCCGAGCTGACGCCGACGGGCGAGGGCCCCGCGGGCCCCGGCGCGGACGGGGTGATGGACGTGGATGACGATGACGGGATCCTTGGTGGGGTGCGTCCGAGCGTCCCTTCTTCCGCGCCCGAGTTGGCTGACAATAGTGCGTTTGTTGTTGCAGGCACCCCCGAGGACGCCGACACCGCCGCCTGGCGGCTGTTCGCTCGAAGACAGGTGGGACGGCGGCGCGGAGAGCGGTTCCTTGCTGTTACTGCTGCCGAGCTCGTCGCTCTCGCCGGTGGTGGAGGACGTATCGCCTGCTGTCGAGGTCGTCAGCAGCGGGCCCGTCGAGCCTCCTTCGCGAGGCGGGTCCGTCGTTCCGATCGACGCCGAGCCTGTTCAGATCGATGTTGAGCCCGCTCAGATCGATGTCCCTCCGATCCAGATCGGTGTCTCTCCTGTCCGGATCGACGGTTTCCCCATCCAGATCGACAACTCTCCCACCACCACCGTCGTCGCCGCCGCCACTACCACTATCCCCACCACTAAGCTTGACGAAAGCAACGACGACTCGCCCGCGAAGCCGCCGAGCTTCCCGCCGAGCCCGTCCCCGTGCGACGACTCCCCCGTGCGCGCCGCGTCGGTGTCGCGCGCGTCGTCGCCCCTGTCGGACGCAGAGGAAGAAGAGGAAGAGGGCGAGCTGCCCGTCGTCGCCGTCATAGCGCGAGAGCGGACGCGGACGCCAACGCCGCCACCGAGACTGCCGTCACGTGCGTCCTCACACGCGCCCTCCAGAGGACACTCGCGGGCACCCTGTACTGCTGCGCCTTCGCGAGCGCCATCTGCTGCTGCTGCTGCTGCTGCTGTTGTTCCGTCGCATGTTTCAACTGCTGTGCCCTCTCGCGCCCCGACCGCCGCGCCCTCCCGCGCCCCATCCGCGCTCGCGATGCACACCGCCGTGTCCGTCCTGCTCGCGCAACACGCACACTCGCACGCACACTCACACTCGCACTCGCGGTCGCGGTCGGCCTCGCGCGCGTCGACGCCGCGGTACGACCCGACGGAGAACGACCTGCTGAGCAGCCCGCTGAGCCCCGCGCCGAGCAGCAGCCCGTCGCTGCCGCCGGGAAGCCCTGCCATGCGCGCGGAGCCTGCGCCGCTCACGCGCGAGGACAGTGTCCGGGTCGAGGACGAGGACGTGCTGCTGCCGGTCGTCGAGAACGAGAGAAAGCGCGCGCTTCCGGTGCGCGAGGTGTCGCGGCCGGTGAAGAAGGCGCGAACGGTGTCGCCTGTACTTTGTCCTGGTGAGGGCTCGGGGGAGGTGGTGCAGGTCAAGACGGCGAAGGTGGTGGTGAAGGAAGTAGCGACGCAGGTGGCGAAGGCAGTGAAAGAGCCGAAGGAGGCGATGAAGGAGGCCCCGAGGACGACGGGCACGAGGGTCGAGGTGCGCGCTACCCGGCCCGCGAAGTCTGTCCCGTTTGCGAAGGCCCCTGGCAGCTGCGCGTCGAAGCCTGCTTTTGCGCAACCTGTCGTCAAGCCGTTTGCCCCCGTCAAACCCGCTGCCGCTACTGCGCCTGCCATTGTTCCCACTGCTGCACTGAAGCCCAAGGTCGCCGCGCCTGCGCGTACGCCGTCGCCCGCAGACGAAGATCCGGAGCCCCGCGCGTCGTCTGAGAAGCCACGGTCGAAAGGACGGCCCAAGCGTGGGAAGCGTCCGCGGACGAGCGAGTTCGTGTTCAGCGATTCGGACGAGGAGCCCGTCTCTCCTGTTACCGCGCCTATCTCGACGGATGTCCACACGAAGTCGATTGCCTCTACCTCGGCCTCCGCATCGCTGACCTCCTTACCTGAGCCTAAAGTGAAAAAGCGCAAAGCCACGACACCGTTGCCTGACTCTGGGGAAAGCGGAGACGAGGAAGAGGTCGTCCCACCACCACCACGGCGGAAGTCGAAGAAACGCTCGCCAAGTCTCGCTGCTTCGTTGTTCGACGAAGAGGAGTTTACAGAGGCGCACGCGTCATCGTCGAAGCGGCGCCGGCGCGAGTCGTCCTCCAAGCCTGCGAACGCGCCGAGCACCACGTCGAGGCGCAGGTCGCGCCGTGCGAGCCACGGCGAGGAGACCGGCGAGGACCTGACGAAGGTCGACTGGGAACGCGAGAGTCCGCTCCCGCTGGACGAGCTCGAGGGCATGGTGATCGAGACGCTCGCCACGTCGCGCGCGACGAGCATGAGCTGCGAGGTCCTCTGGCGCGCGCTCGTCGGCGGGCGGCCCACGCTCGGGCAGATGGTGCGGCAACGTGCTGCGGCCGACATCGTCGACGACAGCGGCATCGTGAAGAAGGAGGAAGGCGTGCCCGACCTCGGCGACGCCGCGCAGGAAGAGGAGACGAAGCCGTCGGCGAGCGCGGCGATGAGCAGGGCCGAGTGGCTGCACCTGCTCACGCACATCCTCTCGTCCGGACAGGTGCGCACCGGTCTCTTCGGGCGCGTCGAGAGCAGCGCGAGCGACAGCGACGCCGCAGGGCCCTCGCCGCACTCGCCGCGGAAACCGGCCGGCGCCCAGCAGCGCCCCGTCGACCCGTCCCTGCTGACTGCGCCTGCACCGCCCGCACAGAAGCCGCCACCGCTGAGCCCTGGGCGGAAGCGGCTCTCGTTCAAGTCAGCGCTGCGCGCACACTGGTACTACGTCCCCGAGCGCGACGCGGACCGGGAGCGGGCGCAGGTGATCCGGAGCATGATGCGCGGGCCCGGCAAGCGGAGCGAGACGATGAAGTACAAGCAGTACTACTGGAAGCCGCTCGCGAAGATCACGCGGTGGGACCGGGAGGACGAGCTGTAGTCGCGGGGTGTGGGGACTGACTCTTGTTGGCTGTGCTGTGTCGTTCTTGTTTTTTTTTGGAGAGTTTTGGAGAGTGTTTCCTTGTATGGATGTTTTGATACTCGTCGTTTTTGTCCTTTTGTGTCTTCTTTCGTTTTGTTGCGCTGCAGGCTGTACCACGCTATCTTTTATCTCAGTCTAATAGCATCGTGAATATTAATCGTCTTCGCGCCCGGCGGCGGCGTGTGGAGTCTCAATATGCCCAATGGTCGGACGGGAAGGTGCGTGACTATGGGCATTATCAATTCCGTGCTCGAAGTTGTGGCGGGACGTATACAGGTGGTGGCATAGTGAGCCGCGAGAGGTGAGTTATACGTCCCTTGGAATCTAGCGACTCTGCTGACCACCGAGCAAGTCTCGTCCAAGTTCGTCAACGAGTGGCGTGCGCTTGGACTGCCGGGACAACTGAAAATGGTAACTGCAAGATAAGCGATGATTGAGAGTTGGGTCAGCCCCTGGGTGGCCCCACTCAGGCCTAGGAGCATTGGTTCTTTGTGCCTCTACACCAACTATCGCCCTTGACACGCTACAGCATGCCTGGAAAGACATGTTGCCCTCCTATACCGCACGAGATGAACGAGAACGAGCTGCAGAGCAGGCACGCAAGGATAAAGCAGCCAGACGCTCTGCTTTCTGGTCTTCGTTATGCTTCTGCAGGCGGCGCCCGAGCCGCCGGCAGGAATGACGCGATATCATGTTGATGTCTTCGTAAGCGATATGTTTCCCTTCGCTGGAGCACACCTCACGGTCGTGAATTTGTCAGGTCCTCCTGCCCCCTCTCTCCATTGCTTTGTTGTCGTCATCGTTCGTGACTGTACCATAGCCCAGGATGTGTTTCGGTCAAAGAGCAACGATTCTTGTGAGCATCGTATCTATCTGCAACAAATATGGCGCCTTTAGGGGCACGAATGCCGGCTGTCTGCTCGAGAAAGCATTCCTGTATAGCGTCGCCAGCAGCAGCCAAGATGGTACAGGTACTGCGACGTCGGGTTACTGGCGTTTGTGCTACGGCAAGCGTAACGGCGGCCATGGCTACACGAGTCAGGGTATCGCGCTTTGCAG